AATATAAAACAAACCCCCCCCCCCTCCCCAGAGCATCCTTATACCATCAGAATTCATCCTTTCGATGTCCACTTGGACCGAGCCTAAAATTAGCCTTCAAATTGCCACTTAATCCAAGGTCAGAATTGGATTTCATTGGATCAGCATTTACTATTTAAAACTTTAAACTGACAAATTAAACAATAAACTGTTTAATGGTTTCATTTCTGGCTTGCAAGCATACATGGTGACCATACTAACAGTCCGTAGCTTCATTTCAGTAGTAAATTTGCATGTTACAGACAATCTGCACATAAAACAAACGTGATTTAAAAAATATAAAAATTGTATGTCATGCATATGAGACAATCTTTTTTTAATTATAATTTGCTATTTAAACCCTTGTCTTATACACTGGAAAAATGGTATAACCATCACATGCGTAGATCCTAGACATCTGATTGGTTAAGTAAAGAGGCGGGCAATAGCTTCAACAGTCACTCCTATAATGTATGTTTGAATGACAGTTCATTTTTTCCTGGATCAAAAGTACTATCACCTTAAAAGATAGTAATTTTTGCCCTGATGTGTAATCGCTAGGCTGCCACCTATAAAGTATGTATTTAATTTATGACACACGGACAGCCCTTCGATCGCCTAGCCCTACGAAGTAAGCCTAGGCCTACTTGGTGTGTACTCTTTTCATTATGTTTTTAGGTCTCATAGAATTTATGTATGAGGTATATAAAACAAATATTGATTGCTCTAGATTCAGTGAACGGTGAAATCTATAGCTCCTTGGTGATGTAGAGACCGTAGCCTTTTTTCCTCAGGCCTGAGGGCAGTGGTGGCACCCAGAAATTTGCCAACAAGGGGTCCGACGTGTCCGATGGTGGGTCCAAACCAAAGCGATGACGAAGCCTCGGTCGACAGCCGGAATAAAAAAAATGCCTGTTAGGGTTCATGGGGAGAGGTGTATTGCTTAATTTGGTCCTTAATGCGTTTTTAGACCACAATATTAGAGATTGGCAATCAAAATAGTGTTATTTGGATAGGCAAATTATTATTTTGTTTAGTTTATGGTTCGACGACCTAGTCAATTGTCGGACGATATACAGTATACATATATAATATACA